TGTAAATAAAACTGAAAGCATAAAAAATAAAATAATAAACATAAAACATCTTATATTTCAAATAAAAAAACTAGAAATAATTTTATGGACATAAGGTCAGGATGGATAAAAAAAAAAAAAAGAATAATAATTCTCGATGCCTTATTATGAGCATAATTCTAAACAACTTATTCAAAGGAAAGGAATTAAAATAGATTATTCTTCCAAAAAAAAAATTGACATTAAATGGTTTTAGTTGATTCTTCTCCATTCTAGAAAAATACATTTCTTTCAAAGCATTATAAAATAAATAATAAAAATAGAAAAATAATTGATAAAAAAAAAATCATTTGTCAAGAGGGTCTCATTGAACTAAAATTGAGGCATTTATCCTCAAAATTTAAATTCTGTGGATCACCCTATTTTTTTATTTTCTGCCTGAATTTAAAGCTTCTCAACACTCAGTAGTAAGAGAAGCAAAAATTACAATGAGAAACAATTACTAATTTTGAATATAAAAATATTTTATATGAAAATAGGATTATAGTTTAAAAATAAAAAAGAATAAAAAAAAAATGAGCAGTTGATGGAAGCCAAATATAAAGCACATTAAGCTCACTAAAGCCCTCAAGTTCCCGGTCATCCATGTCCAATCTCTTGCACTCTCCACCCGAAGATAGAATGGAGAGAAGCGAACCCGTTAGCCGACCGCAGTGAGTCGTGCAACAGCCTGGGAGACTAATGAGAGAATGTACAGTCAGATCTCCCAGCAACTGGAGCTATCTCTTGCACTATTTCTTGCACTGAATAACGCTCTATCATCATTTCTTGCACCATTGTGTACATGTCAAAGGTTATCTTTAAAGAGGAAGAAATTATTATGTATATCAAAACTAATGGACTGCATCTTTGTTAATAATTGTCCGATTTTTTTTTGTTTGTTTTGTAAGTAATTTAGTAATCTTTCTAATAACCATGGATACTATCAAGAAAAAAAATGAATACTTTTTGAATTGTTCGCAACTACAGTATCTTTTCCTTCGTAATTTTTTTTTGCAGGCATTTGGGAGAGGGGGAGGTGTAGAAGTATTTTTGGATGTGAAGGAGAAGAATATCTCCAAAATGAGTGGCCAATCATTGGATTTTATGAAGAATTAACGAAGTTAATTAACCAACACATTTTAGAAAAAAAAAACACATTTTAGAAATAATATATAAGATCATATTTATCTGAATGCTGCTCTATCGCATTTTCTTTGATTCGATTTATCCATTTGGTTTTTGGGCTTCCACGTGGTATCCTCCCTCTTATGGTAAATCCATCCGATTTCGTCACCCACTGCAGTTATTGAAGAATATTTTAAGGGAATGGTCCAGAGCCGACGAAAGGCGATATCATTTCATAGGTAGAAAAAATCGCTGAAGACTAGAAACCCGGCAAGTGTCGCCTAGAAAGGACGTATTTTAGGTTTTTGGCAAGAAACACACAATATCGTTATGGTTCTCCCATTCTGATTTAATTCTTAACATCTTTGAAAATTGTGTAAGGTGTGCCAAAAATTGGCGCTTACAGATATTTTTATATGTTTTTGTTTAACTATAAAAAAAAAAATGAAAAAATGAACTGTCTGTTCCACTTATTTATTTTAAAATTAGAGATCTTTACTGACTTAACAGAACCTAAATTGTTGAACCAAGTAGTTCCGAAAACTTTTTTTTATTCTTTGAGGCATTCATTCGTAGAGATTCCCTGGTGGATTGCCCCATCTTAACTTCCTCGTCTTCATATAAGAGATTTTTATAAAGAGAGATGATAGTTTGACAAAGATTTAAAAAAGTACTTAGCATTGTGATTAATTATATATTTATTATAGACTAAACGCGGATTTATCTGCTTGAAATTTGGATTATAAATGCCTGTTTCATACAAATGAATAATTCTCAACTAAAAAAAAAACAATAAGAATAAAGTTATTAAAATTGTTTATAAAATCAATGTATGATGACTGTGAAGTCAATTATTTGAAGACCGTATTATTACATTGAGTAATCATGAAAATACTATTAGTTGACTGTTTATAACCGTGTTGCTTCAACAATTGGATTTGTTGTTAGCAACGCAGATTGTGTCAGTTGATAAGTTGATTGAGTTTTGAATTTCTGTGAACGAACCAAGACTATTGTTTGAACAACGTTATTTCTATACATTTTTATCCATTAAAGAGTACAGGATGAAGGAAGTTAGTCGACTGTTCTACATATCATGGGTGATATGTAGTCAGGATGCAGTATGTTTTAAAGATTTTTATTGTTGCCAATGCTTATGGGTCATCATCAGGGCATGTTTACCAGCACAGAAGGTGTACTGATGACCAGTACTTGAACACCTACAGTGCTTGTAACATGACCTTATGATAACAGCCAAGCATGGGTTAAAATGTTGGCAATCACAAGAAACTAAGGTATGTGCTTTAGATCGCCCGATGTTAGTGAAAACATTCGGGCTGAAGCCCTCCCAAATAGAAAAATATAACCATGTCTTATGAAATAAATATTAAAAACTTATCAATAATAGTATTATTGTTAGCGAAATTACATTTAATTGAACTCCAAGAATGGCTTAAACAACATTTCTATAGGTAATTAGAGCTAGCGAATCCAGGATTTAATTTTTTTTGGGAGGGGCTTCAGTCCGGAAGCCTTTTTTTAATATATAAAACGATAATTACAATGAAAAAACAGAAGCATACTAACTACCTATATGAAATGGTGTTTAAGTGATTCTTGAAGTCCTATTAAATGTAATTAAACGAGCAATAATATTTTAAGACATAATTTTTAAATATTTTTTACCATACAACATGGTTACATTTTATTAATTCGGGGGGGGGGGGCTTCAACCCGAAAGCCTCCTCTTCACCCGCAGATCCGCCTGTGGTAATTAGTTAGTTTTTTTTTTTAGTTAGTTTCTCCCAAAAAAGTAATTTAAAAAAAACCTTCAGGGCTGAAGGCTCCCGCTAGTGCTTTCAATAGAAGGATTCATTGTTACTTGGAGACTTCCAGATGGATCGCTATAAGCAGAGGTGTCCAGAAGGTGGTTTCATGGCGCAAATTTTGATAGGGTTAGGAATTTTCAGACCAATGGATAACGGTAACACATGGAACTGACCGCAAGTGTATTTATATATAATCTGTTTATATATGATAATTCTAACTTAGCTTGCTCTGTTTCTAAAGCAGACCCTACACGGTAATTCATGAATGAACGTCACAAGAAGTGCCAAGATTGCCCGCTATCGCTTTGATCATGAAGACCCTTACACGTTCAATCATTACTGATCATTACTTGTGTGAAGTTTCCACTTTTTTCTCTCTCCAATTTATTGCCTACTTGACTATTTAAAGAAAAAATAGTTGAAAATGGTTAATAATAATATAGACTAGGGATATAAACAACTATTTACTTTTATGAAATTATTTACTTAATAACGAGACCTAGGTAAACTAACCTATCTAGTAGTAAGGTTAGTCTCTTAGAAAATCGTTTTGACAAAAGTTAGTAAAATATAAGTCTACTACTTACAAAAATTATGGAAAGATATTGCGAAAATAATAAATTTGTTGAGAAAAATGGGAAAAGAACTGATAAATATACACAACGTTAAAGTTTTTTTTTTTCCTAAGGTAAATTGTGAAGTTTCCTCATTTTTTTTTTTTTTTTTACTTTGTTGCCCACTTGACTATTTAAAAGAAATAGTTGAAGATGGTTTAAAATTATAAACAAGGGATGTGAAAAATTATTTAACTATTTACATATAATGAAAATCAGAAATTTATAATGGTTGTGAGAATTAGGTAACCTAACCTATCCAGCAGTATGGTTAGTCTCCCCACTACTTTTACCTCAGTCCCCCCTCCACTTCTCGTGAATGAACCTTTGATTTCCGGATGTTCAGAAATCCGCAGAGCACCACCATCAGTACTTCATTCACTACCTTACACGACAATTCGGAACGTCATTAGTGCAATTCCGATTGACCGTGTAGGGCCCCCCTTAAGAAAGGTGAGCAATAAAATATTTTGGGAAGAGGGAGAAAATTAGGTTCTTGCGCCATCTAACTTGGGGGGGGGCATGTAAAAAAAAAAAAAAATAAACCAAAAGATAGCTACGAGCTACATGCTCTTATAATTGGTTAATAAAAATAAATATATTCTTAACGTATATTTAAGTAACGTTGAATGCAGTTACTGAAAAATAACTGAATGAATGAATTAACGAATGAATGGATGAATGAAAAATTATTTTATTATGGGACTGAAGTCCCCTTTGAATAATAGTTAAGGGGACCCTACACGGTAATTCATGAATGAACGTCACAAGAAGTTCCAAGATTGCCTGCTATCGCTTTGATCATGAAGACCCTTACACGTTCAATCATTACTGATCATTACTTATGTGAAGTTTCCATTTTTTTTCTCCCCAATTTATTGTTTACTTGACTTTTTAAAGAAAAAATAGTTGAAAATGGTTAATAATAACATAGACTTATAGTTAATTATAACAACTATTTACTTTTATGAAATTATTTACTTAATAACGAGACTTAGGTAAACTAACCTATCTAGTAGTAAGGTTAGTCTCATAGAAAACCTAACCTAACCTATCACTTCTCGTGAATGAACCTTTGATTTCCGGATGTTCGGAAATCCGCAGCGCACCACCATCAGCACTTCATTCACTACCTTACACGACAATTCGGAACGTCATTAGTGCAATTCCGATTGACCGTGTAGGGTCCCCTTTAAGAATAATGTTAAAAAATATGTACATCTGCTATAACTGGTGTTATTCTAAAACATATGTTTAACTGGAGTTCCTATTCTATAAAAAGTTTTATTTCTGGCACTTACGATAAGTAATAAGCTTTCAGCACATTTGCAAATTGATAGGAGTCATAAATTTAAATTATATTAATGATTGTTCGATTCAAAGTTATTGTTTTTTTTGTTGTTTATATTTTATCTTCAAATCTCCATCCGCACCTGTTATGATAGTGACAATTAGCAGATTTGTTGTTAACAGTACAAAATGTTATAATAGGCATGATGAATGTTATTTAAAATTGTCTTTAAAATGTAGATTTATATTTATTCGAACCCGAGGGATCATATGGAAAGCCTAAAGTTGAGAGAACGTACGCACATGTTCCTGCTTAGGTTATTTTTTGTACCGTTTCAGTTTCGGGCTAAAAGAGGATTATTTCATGAAATTGGGCAGTTGAGATGACACAAAACGATTCCCACAGTTTTGAGTATTGGTTCATAGGCCTCCCAGCATCCAATGATCCAAAAGATGAAAAGGCAAAAGACACAAAGATCAAAGATCCTCTCGGGAAGAATTGGGAAAAGGTGAGATAGCATAAACATTAGTCTTTGTCCTGAAGCTGGGTTAACAGCGCGTTTCTTGAACATGTAAAACGGTGATTAAGGAGCTTGTTTAACATTTATAAAGGTACGTTTTGACATTTCACAAAATATGGAGAAACACGAATGTCTAAATAGGTTGTTTCTAGGGATAGAAGAGAAAAAAATCAAACGTTTTAAAGCGACAGTTCTTGATTTTAAACGAATTTCTTTACATTGATGGAAACCATTGACGAGATAATGAAAAGGTTAGGTTAATTTGGCAGTGCGTATCGTTAAAGCATGGAGTAAAATTTCCTTCAAAGATTTGAAGATTTGTTGACTTATGAAAATGATAAGGTGATAGTGGTGGGGTGTTAAGTAGCAATCTGTTTAATATAAACAGTTTCTTTCATTAAACATATGCAGTAAACTGTTTAAGTCGAGATTAAACAGATCCAAGGATAACCTTCCAATAGGAGGGGGCAAGTTGTTGTTAAAATCAGCGCTGAACTCATCGATGCCATCGAATATTTCTCTAAACAGAGCAAAATGAATCCATCGATGAACTTAGTGCTGAGTTTAGGAACCTACCAACGATAATTCACAGTATAGTGGCTTAATAATAATTAATTACTTTTTAAATTGAAATAACAAGGAGAGACTATTCAAATATTAGTTTCCCGCCGACCCAATATGGCCGCCACATCGGTATGACCGCACTGTGTTATTAAGCCACTGTAACTCAGGAGGATACAGCGATTCCGGTGGAAAAAGAAGAAAACACTGAATCTGTTTAATTTCAACAGCTTTCCGAAACAGCTACAGAAGCTGTTTAATTTAAACAGATAAAGAAAGGTGTTTAATTTAAATAGCTTCTTGTAACAGATACAGAAACAGTTCTCAGGTCAGTTCTATGTTTTCATTATTTTCACTAATAAATTTATATAAAACCTTTAAAAAGCGTTATAATTCAAAATTATAACTTTAATATCACTTTGACTTTCTTCAGCAATTTTTGTTTTGTCTCACACTTGATATACTATGGTAAAATTATCGGAAAGTTTCATCAAAATTGTTAGAGCAGTTTTTGCGCTACAGTCTATAGAAAAAAATGTTTTTCATTTACTGCGCAGCCACTATTGCGCATGGAGCACCCCATTTGTGTCACATTCATCAGTAGTCAAAACTCTACAAAATAAAAAAAGGAGCAACAAAATCGGTTGACTAGTTCCCGAGAGAATCTTGGCACAGACATACCAATGGCTAAAATGTGTTTTTCGGACTCAAAGGATTCTGAAACGTATAGATCCGTCGAAAACCGCATATCAGAAGTTTGACCCGATCGCAATACTTTCCTTACCTAGTATAGTAAAAGCTATGTAAAACTATTTTTCGTACTAATCACCTTCAAGATATAATTTTTTTCTTGTTTATTAGAAAGATAAATATTTATTTAAGTATATATTCAAACAATCGGAACAAAAAGAAGAAAGTTTACATTTACAAGAATGTTTTGTTGAAGGTGAACGAAATAACGAAGAAATTGTGTGAAAATTTCCATTTCCCGTTGCCAGATTTGAGGGTGGGGACTTTGGACCATTTGCTCACGGCTTCTGTTGATCTAGAAAGGTAAACCCGTTGACAAGAATGAACTGTAGAGATGGGGAAGAGGTATCTGTAAGTTTCTATCCTACCGTAAAGAGAATATAGTTCGCAACAGATCCTAGCTCTCCACATATCGATCAAAACTATTAATATATTTAAAGATTGATTTAACTATGAATTAAGTTTTATATTATAATTAAAAAGAAAAAAGACGAAATATGAGGTAGTCATATTACTTTATTAACAACTAGTCATACAGAGGGTACGAAAAAAGTTTTGCATTACAAATTTCTTGTCTACAATTTAAAAAAAAAAATCCAAAACACAAAATACATAGTCCGTTTAACTAACCCCTCGTTATCAAATTATTAACATCCGCCTAAAACTTCGTAAACTTCGTTTTTTTGTGTCGTCAGATCTTCGATAGTTAACGAATCGGAGACAGTGGAGACTTTATAAATAATGGTTTTTATTCATAATGTTACATATGGCATCTAAAATATAATATAAGTAATATAGTATGGATATATGAGTTGACTACATGAGTTCACTCCAGGTCTCCTACAGTGAAGAGTCTGGCTCAAGAATGCAACTGCACGAGTGATTTGGTCTGAGGATCATAGGGGTTATATGCTCAGGGATAGTAGGGGGGATGAATCAATTCTGGTCGGTCTAGGAAGCGTGTGAATGAAGTTATATATATTAAGAATTGATATCCTTATCTTTTAGAATTGATATGAAGTCTGTGAGAAAGTGCTCTTTTGCTGAAAACGGTCATTGTTCCCTAAGTCTTGATAAGTGTCTTCTGTCCAGTCAATACATTCTAGATAACTATTTCTAAGCTATCAGAGATAACTTGACCTGGCTATCTAGGGCTTTGTGCCTTAACGCTTTGATAAAGGTCATGAGAAAGGTCAATTAATGATTAAATGATTAAATAAATAAAAGTTAATATTAGTAGTTGTTACGGATTAAGTCCATTCCGTAACTGATCTATAACGCTTGAGTAAAGTCGGCTGTAGTCGACTCTTTGAAGTGTTTTTGCATATGGATTGAAATATCTCAGAAACTAAAAATCGAATCTAGCGAATGAATTGTTTAGCATTTCATTCTCTCTGTAATGGGCTATTATTCAAAATTGTATCTTAACGCGACCCCATGTCACAGAGGCGAAAAGAAAAAAAAGTGTGGAAAACGAAATGGTAACATGTTTTATATTAGATATGTATAAAAATTATTATTATTTATGCATGCAGGCTATTACAACAATAGCCTTGTTGATGTTTTCATTTATATCTTGTGGTCTAAAGCACACACCTTAGTTTTTTTATTTTCAAAAAATCTCGGAATTGTTGCGTTTTGAATGTGAAGATCGGCAAACTTTAGCTATTTAATTAGGTAATGAAAACTCATAAACACCCATTTGCTTTTCTCTTGAATCTGTAAGATAATTTACTGACAAAATAGAGAAAAAACGTGACCTACAAAAATACTGGTTGGTGTGACTTCCAACCCTCCAATACGTCAAAATAACGAGATTATAAAAATCAAACGACCCAATTTTTTTGTAGGCCAACTTTGTTTTCGAATTTGTGATCAAATTATCTTATGATTCAAGTGTAAAACAGAGAGGAGTTTTTAGTATCTAGATTAAAGTAATTAATCTAATGAAAAAACGCACCGTTTCAAAGAATTTTCGTTGAGCAAAGCGATTAGTCGTATGGAGCTGCAGGAGATCTACGCTGTATCAGAATGCTCTAACAGCTTTATCCCAGTGGTGACCAAAAAATCTCTATTGTATTTTATTTATTTGATGTATTCCATACAAGAAAGATGTATTTACATTGCAACTCTGACAAAATCCAAGCTATATTTGAGATAAGGCTATCCAACCATTTGCCAAGCGCAATTTACTTCGCGCAGCGCAGAAACATAGTTATGAAGTGACAAGACTGCAAATGGTACGTTACAAAAGAGACCTCGAAATGGCAATCGACGTTTTTTTTTTTATGCATAAATATTTCAAACCACACCATACACAACGACGTGAACGTACCAGCAGTAAAATCTTACATACATAACAAATACACAACATTCCACTCTTCAACTATTGATCATCCACATCTACTTGTCCTTTCTCTTTCTTCCTCCCCGTTACCTGGTGAGCCTCAACCAAGAATAAAGAGGAAGTGGCCTTGGGATCTGCTCACAGTATGAAAAAAAAGGAAATGAAGTAAAAAACAAGACAGAGCGAACTACGCATTTTCATGATGCGTTGAAACGCAATTGTAAATATACTGTAAAATAAAATAAAGAAAGGAAAATAACTAATTTTAAATTTATATACAAACCGCTGTAAAGTTATCTAATTAAATAGTGAAAAATTCCAAGCATTCCTCAGTATGCGAAATAAATATTTGATATAAATAGGGGTTTTGCATGAAATAACATCGTCAATATCCAAGTAACACCGACTATATGGTCCAATGGTTGTACCTAGTTGGATACGTATTACGAGAGGTACATTTCGAACTATTCCTATAGAAAGATGCCTTCAGATTTAAAATAAAGCAGAGAGAAAACACGGCGGGTCTACCGCAAAGTGCCCGAGTAAAATTCGACAAGAATTGGAAAAAAATATTAAGCAGTATTTATTTTCTTGGACTATGTCTCATTATATCTGTTTACAATACGTTTGTAATAATTTTAGTTCGGTAGTTATCTTGTCTCTCCTCAGACTTGAAGCTTTTTAATCATTTAAACAGATTTTAGGAAAAATTGACAAACCTACCGGATTCGAACATCAATTTAGCTTAGAAAGCGATAGATAAAAAACTATTTAGGTAGGTTTTGAAAATAGATGACTCAATTCCAAAACACACGCCCAACATTATTAAACTAGTTTAGTAATGATTTTAAGCGTATTTATCACTTAAATCGCTACTAGTGATTGCTTCTATGTTATAATGGTAAAACTGATTAACATTCTGTTACACAGATTGGAATCAGTCATTGAATCTGTAGCGTCTAAGATAAGTCAAGCATTAGCCGACGTAATGGAATTGAAAATGGACCAAATGGAAGAATTCCTGAACGTGAACGGCGTTTCACTTCCAGAATATTTGCTCAAGTTCAGATGGGATCTATCCAAATATTCGATGAGGCAGACGCTGAAAGGCATCGAAGACCAAATAGAGAAACAAATGGTGGGATTAGAAATGGAAACTAAAACACTTCATTGCGAATACGTAGCAGCGAGAACAGAACTTGCCTCAATGGAGCGGTATGAGAAAGGCCCCCTTCATACGAGGAACGTGTCCGAATTCGTTAAGATGGAAGACTTCGTACTCAACTCGGAACACCTCATTACCGTCCTGGTGGTCGTATCCAAGACCAGCTACCATGATTGGTACAGTAGCTACGAGAAGCTAGACAACGAAGTGGTCCCTCGATCGACGAACCTTCTTTTTGAAGATTGCGAGTATGGTCTGTTCAACGTCACACTATTCAAGCGGCACCTAGACAATTTCAGGGAGAAGGCCCACGAAATGAAGTTCTACGTGAAGGATTTCATTTTTGACAGAGTTAGGATCCAAGACGAGCGAGATCGACTGACCAGCCTTCGGCAGAAGAAGGCGACCCTCATAGGCCCTCTCATCCGGGCCCTCAGGATCAACTTCAGCGAAACCTACATGTCCTACCTCCACATCAAGACGATGCGGGTCTTCGTCGAGTGCGCTCTCCGTTACGGGCTACCGGTCAACTTCCTCGGTCTCATCATGGTCACGCCTAAGAAGAATATTAAGAAACTTCGCGATGTATTGTTCAAAGAATTCGCTTACTTGGATGGTTCGCTGCCCAAGGAGGAAGTCAGAGAAGAGAAAAAGGTACAACCGGATCAAGCTGCGCCATCTCCCGACTACTTCCCGTATGTGTGTATCAAGGTCAACGTGGAGCCTCAAGAATTCAAGTAAATACAGTTACAATTTTTTGTCCAAGAATGAAAATAAAATGAGTATATAATACAATATTAAAAATTATATGTCTAAATATTTTATTTTATTATATTGAAAAATATAACAGAACAAACACACCATATTTACACAAAATTTAAACAACAAGTGAGAATCATATTATATAGTTATCCTTTTTACTAATACATTCGACGTATAAGCGACACCAAAGACATATATTTGGCGGGGGGTGAATTTCTATGAGGACTAAAGGACAAGCGAAAAACATGGGCCAGAATGTATCAAGTGTAATTGTATATGATCTATGATTTTCTAATTTTACCTTAGCTTGCTCTGGTTTTAAGAAAAATAATGAAATATTTTGGGAGGAGGAGAGGGGGCAGATTCTTGTGCTACCGACCTTGGAGGGAGGGGATGGGACTCCAAAAAACAACAATTAAATTATTTTTACTTTTTTTCAGTGGCTCTTAAAAAATCAAAAAACGCCAAACGGTCCAGTTAAGCCACTGACACAGGTCGAGTTTAGTTTCGGAGTAAACTATTTTTTGGACCATTTTATTATGCAGCATAACTTGTCTCTTGACTGGTTGAACCCGAGGATAAAAGACAGGTTAGAATAAACCAAGTATAGATTTGACTTTGAATTTTAAAAAATCTGGTGCGCGTAACACCCAAATTTCACTTACCGATCTACGATGAATAGAAATTATTTTCTGGCAATGCTGAGCTATTATACAATTTTTTGAAGTGCATTTTAAAGGGAGCTAAAGCTTAAAACTTACAGATAACAAGTCATTAATACCATTGCAATTACAAAATGCCTATTTAATACATCGACGACAGGCAATAAAAATCTAGTCACTCCATCTGCTTTTATAAACCACAGAATGACTAACTCCAATTTTAACATTTTTGAGTGATGTAATTTTAGTGATATTTTTAGTTGAAAAAATTATTTATGCATACAATGAGTAAGTTGATTCCGGAGGTGATGATTGCAGTGTTAAAATATAGAACTGAGAATAAAGGTATAAATTTAGGTACCTATTTCTTATGAAAAATGTTCTCAGGAAAGATATTTTATTAAATATCTGTAGAAAAAAGTTTTTTTTAGTCTCAACAATTAAAAAAGTATATTTTAAATTTATCCAAATTTTCGCATCTTCAGAGAAAAAAAAACTAGAGACCATATCTTTCCTTCTAATTGTCCGATCTTACCGATTATTTTTTTGTTTTTTTTTTAGGAAATTCCATAAACTTTTAAAAAACCATATGCAATATCTCCAAAACAGTGTATACTTTTTGAGGTAATCGGAATTTAATTTTACCATCCCTCGTAACTTTTTTTAGAGCTTCTTTTCGTTGAAGTATGTTTTATAGATAAATTTAAAGGGTGTGGAGAAAATGACTTTAGCGAAGTTTCATTGAAATCGGTACATTCGTTTAGGCACTACAGTCTATAGCAACGCAGGTTTTTCTGCATTTTTTTTTTCTCCTTTATTAACTTATCAAATTCTTTCAAAAGTTATATTTAGCATTTTTTCGTAACTTTGAATAATATGATATGAATAACTTTTTAAAATAAATCATATTAAAGGTACTTCAAAGAAAGACGTATATGAACATTGGGCATTTAAGTCCTGTAAAGTGACATCAATGGGGATAAGACCTAATTGATATTAAAGACCACTTAATTATACAATGATACACCGAGTTTAATCAAAATAGTTAGAGAAAATTGTGAAAATGTGTTTTAGAGTTGATATAAAGTGGCACTTCGGGTTAGCCGATTTTAAGGAAAAAGTTGTTGTCACATCCAAGGCATATAACTATCTTAAATACGTAATATCAGTTTCGTAGGACTCTTCGTTTTTGTGCTAGACTGCTAACATACAAGCACACAGACACACAGACCATTTTTCGGGACTTTGTCATTTCGACTCAGGGTACTTCAAAACGTGGATTTCCATTGAAAACTCAGATTCAAAAATTTTCTCGATCGCAATACTTAACCTTACAATATATTTCATATATACGTAAGTAAAACTAAAAAATAGTTCACAAATGGCGCTCTAAACATACACGATGGAACATTTCACACACAGAAAAATAAACAAAACATGGTTGAATTCGTAAACACTAACAGACCTATTGAAACAACACACAGAGATCCAAATCTGACTTGTGAGTAACGAATCATTATTCTTAAATCAAATCTGTACAAGGCAAGACTATTTTTACAACCATGATTTTATATTAGAACACTTCAAAATAAAATAAAAAAATATTCATACTACTACATCCAATCCAAAAATTGAGAATGATTCTACACGATTTGGAGAAACCATCGTATCCCCAGAGTAAAACAAAATCGTACAAGCCTAAAGTTTTATTAATTACCCAACGTTTGAAGAAGAAGACTAAATATCTCCATAAATAGAGGAAAATAATAGAGAAAGGGTAAATATTTAAATTGTTGTTGTTCCAACTATTGATCTCAGCATTGGACTTAGACACATGACGCCCCAAAGCAATTAAGTCAAGAGAGTTTCTGCCTCCTCCAACTAGCGGATCCAGGAATTAATTTTTTGGGGGGGGGGCTTCACCCCGAAATTTTTTTTTTCATATACATATAACGATAATTAATTTGAAAAAAATAATAAAGAAATTAATTACCTATATGAAATGGTGTTTAAGTGGTTCTAGAAGTCCTATTAAATATAATTACACGAACAAGAATACTTAAAGAGATAGTTTTTAATATTTTTTTCTGTAAAACATGGTTAAATTTTACCATTTTGGGGGAGGCTTCAGCCCGAAACCCCCTCCCCTCCGTAGATCTGCCTGTGCCTCCTCCCTTTCTACTTTCGCCTAATAATAACCCCACCCCCTTTTTTTAATAGGTACAATTAAACAATTTTTTTTTTAAATTTGAGGTTATCGAAACTTGCGATTGAAAAGAAAGTATTGCGATCGGGTCAAAATTCCGATATGCGGTTTTCGACGCTTCTATGCGTTTCAGAGCTCCCTGAATCCGAAAAACACACTCCCTAACAACTAATAACGAAATTACAGCTATTCAATTTCCAATGTAATATTACGGGTACATATCCTGGTGTCAGAAAGGGATGAATGAGAAAAAAAAAGATAACTAAGTGAAAATAAGAAAAGTCTGTTGCCCGCATCACACAAGCTTCAATATTTCCTCTACTTTTAAAAGAAATTATTGCCTGACAAAATCACGCTATGATAAAAAGTTTTTGATCAACAATATTATCAAATAACTCGTACTCAAATCTTTTTTTTCATCAATTTTCAGAAAAATAAATCTAATACAATTTTATTTGTTTCTTGATGGACATATGTAAATATATAAAAACTTTTCCGAAATATGTAGGAAAGTCGTGTGAGTGGACACACCTGATTTTTTTTTTTTTTTCAATCGCCACCTAGAACCCTTAATTTTCCTTGAGAAACTGTGAACCGAAGATAAGTATTGAAAAAGAATATTGGCGATGTTGTCAATATTCTGACAGAAGTCCGTTGAATTGAATTAATTAAATTTATTTAAATTATATATTGCAATTGTTGTTGGATGTTCCTAAATTAATACTTCATGTAAAGTATTGCTTTCAATCACTTGCGGATCCAAGAATTATTTTTGGGGGGCTTCAGCCCGAAAGTTTTTTTTTTCATAAAAATAACGATAATTACTTTGAAAAAAAAGAAAGAAACTAACTACCTATATGAAATGGTGTTTAAGTTATTCCTAAAGACCTTTTAAATGTAATTACACGAATAATAATACTTTAAGAGATACTTTTTTAATATTTTTTTTCGATAAAACTTGGTTATATTTCACCATTTGGGAGAGAGGGGGGGGGGGGCTTTCGGCCCGAAGATTCTCCGGTGCCACATAAATCACTCTCCCTGAATTTTTTGTTGAAAGAAGTTGCAATATGCACTGTTTTATTTTCGCTGTTCAAAATCGGTAATAAAAAACGTTCATCGCTTAAAAAAACTTTTTGAATTTGTTTTCCAACTACAATCGCGATCATAGATATTGCATCACCTATTTCTTTTGATTCTTATATTGATAACATGGATTCCATTGAATGTTTTTCTTTTCTTATTAAAGTTAAAACAAGACAATTTTAACAATGCTTCTCTATCCAGTTTTAACTAATCTAACGTCAGGAGATAAGCTGTAATTATGACCTGTATCAGAAACTGTCCTCGAAAAAAACACATTAAAATTGTGACGTTAAATGAAGTAAAAAAGTCTTCACGGAAAAAAGAAACGAGAATCGCACCAGACCTTCTTAAAACTTTTAATTCTTTTTTTTATATTCATGAGATATACAACTGTATACATTTAAAAATACAACTAGTAAATGTGCACACAGTTATAATACAATCACATTAGAACGCAAGTTGAGAAACTACCCATTGGTAGCACTCTAATAATATATTTACATAAGTAGATCACGAGACCATCTTCTTTTCAGACGGCTTGAAGAGTTATCAGGTATCGAAGAGAAAGCAAGGTTTGAAACGAGGGGATTCGGATGGTTTGTAAGTTTTTCTGGATTGGACCAAATCGGAAACATATGGAACATTAAGGTCTTTATGAATGATTTTGTGACAAAGTAAGGAGCGTTGAGGATTTTACGAAGGATTTTGGATTGTAAGGATTGGATACGAGAGGAATTCGATGGTTTAGTGGAGCCCTAAAGCTCAATTCCGTCTGAAGTCCAAATAGGTCTGTTGCCCGCATCACAGAAGCTTCAATATTTCCTCTACTTTTAAAAGAAATTATTGTCTGACAAAATTACGCTATGACAAAAACTTTTTGATCAGCAATACTATCAAATAACTCGTACTCAAATCTTTTTTTTCATCAATTTTCAGAAAAATAAATCTAATTCAATTTTATTTGTTTCTTGATGGACATATGTAAAGATATAAAAACTTTTCCGAAATATGTAAGAAATCGTGTGAGTGGACACACCTGATTTTTTTTTTTTCAATCGCCACCTAGAACCCTTAATTTTCCTTGAGAAA